CAAAAGTTTAAAGGTCATTCTGCACAAAATATCGACTTGTATATGAGTATATAGACAGCTAAAGATTCTTATAAGATGTTCAAAAGAGAAATTAATTTTGCTTTTCGTTTAGAGAGTTAATTACCATAAAACTCAAAAAAATCCTTTCCTTTTCCGTCTCTCTTCCTTTTTCCCTCTCTCTGTGTCTCTCTTAGCCACTACATTTAATTCATTGTGTCCAATAATTTAGAAGATTTTAATTTTTATGCATCATCGGCACATTTGATTAGCTATTTTAAAATTTATTTTTTTTTAATTTTTACTTTCGTCGAGTTTTTTTAGATTCTAATTTGATGACAGATTTAAATGACCATTTATTCATGAAATTAGCAAGGAAGCGGAGGAGGAGAAAATAGGAAACGCATTTCCTGTGAAATTGATACCCCGTTTAAAAATAGAAGCAAATTATAGCAACAAATAATAAGCAAAAAATATATTCTTTTTTCTCTGCCGCATTGAAGTATTTATAAACAGAAGCATTGAATATTTCTGAGATATGGAATATATTATCATCATTACCATCTTCAACATTATTATTATTATTTTTATTTCCTTTGATTTCTGGCGTTTACACATTTCTTTCCGGGTCCCGCTCAGGGACCTAAGGTTAAAAATGGCGTCATGACACTTTCCACTGACAAAAAAAAAAAAAATACATAGACCTTCGTAAAGTGTGGGCTGTACTTGTCAGAACAATTTTTTGTATTTCTTTGAGACATGGACTTCCAGGAATCCCTTCGATTAGTCTACTGGAATCTTTTTCAGCCATACCTAGGGCTTCAACTATAACAGGGATTGTTGATGTTCCCATGTGCCACATTTTATTATTATTATTATTATTATTATTATTATTATTATTATTATTATTTTCTCAGTTAATATCTTAATATATGATAATATCTGGATAGCGGGTTACAACAAGCAGTCTTAGGTATCAAGCAATTTTTCCTCTGACTCTGTGTTCCTCACTTCTCAGATTATTCTTGTCATTTCTAAGAGACTTCCTTTCTGTAAAAGATCCATTGAGAAATCAATTCCAGTTTTCTTTATCCACATCTCCATTCTATCAGTCACTGTACCAAACGCACCAATAACAACTGGTATGACTGACCTTCTTAACTTTCAAAGTATTCCGATTTCAAACTTCAAAGCAACATAGATGGTTACTTACCTCAGACAGGGAGCACCTTTCGTAGAATACGTACAGTGCCAACCAAGGCAGACTTCTGAATTGATGTGATACTAGGCTTTATTCCGATTCTGTCAATGTGGGACTTTTATTATAATTACGCTTTGATATCTTCTCCGACTCTTACGTTTCGGTTGGGTGCTGATATCCACACATAACAGTTTCCTCAGTACACTAGCTGTACGTGCCTACTCCCAATGATGTTAACTATATACAAGTTGTACTCTGATGTAGAACAATTTCGGGAAATGGTCCCGAGTGCGCCAACCACAAAAGGGACAATTTCACCTGCTCTTTGGTAAATTTGCCCTTTCTTTCTCTGTACCTCTGTATTTTCGCCTGCTGTGTCTTCACGATGTTCTTATCATAAAGTACAGTAACATCTATAGGTGTCTATTCAAGGCTGCTCTTGTGCACAAGTGTATGTCAGGGCGGTTACTCTCCAAGCGCTTGTCAGTCAAAATAGTTGTATCCCACATGATCTTCATTCTCAGCTATTGACTGTCGTGAATTCTCGTATCACCTCTCTCTGTACACGAGGCCATACTTCCTGCATAGTTCCAAGTTTATTTTGAAAGCTATTTTTCATGGCGTCGTCTGTACTCTTTCCGTGGCAGGGGAGTGCAGCCATTGACGATGTGCTACACGCTTTAAACAGCTTTTCTACATAACCGCTGCATGGGTAAATCAGCTGTTCTAACAATAGAGGCTATGTGCCGTGTTTCTTCAAGACCTAGACGATCTTGGCTCTTCACAATTTCCTGTCGTTTTAACTCTTAGTAAGATATGTCTTTTTTCTATCTTTCCGAATCTCTCTTCTGCCAATCATGTACACAAGTTTGTTATGCTATGAGCAGTTTTTCTGTCTCTTTTGCTTTCAATATATCCTGTCATGGAATTTGTACATAAAGCTTGTTCTTGAACTACATAGATCTTCCCTTCGGTTTCTTTCTTCAAGAACAAGTTCCTAAGGCCGCTCCGTGATTCCGCATCTGCCATCTCTTGGGTTTCCTTGGTAAATGCTCAGTACAACGTATTTTCCTTCCATGCATCGACCTTCTAATCATACTCTTCTCGCAATCTTCTAATGACATTTTCTAACTCCACAATGACCTTTTCTTTTAGCGTACATTTTAGCAATCCCTCCTGGTTATTCTGTAAATACTCGTACAAGGGTTTACATTCTGATGTTACTCACTCTCTTAGCCCAATCAAACCACCTCCATACTCTTTTCAGAGTAGGTAAGTCCTAGCCACATTACATCGAGAATGTAAGCTCCTTTTCATAGTCAGTATCTTCCTCGTTATTCCGTCGAAGTTTGCTAGGCTCTCCATAATCCATTCAAGAACGTCTGTACCATACCTCACACCTCCTAAGCACTGATGCCTGAAAACAGATTTCCACCCTTCTACTCGCCTATTAAACCCTAGCTATGAAAAGAAGAGATAAACTCATTTGTTTTAATCATTTTACACCCAGTAAGGCAATAAAGCCACTAAGACGCAAGATGTTACGTAGTGTTATAGAATATGAGACATTATAGAATAGGAGAGATAACAATAAAAGAACAAGAATTAAGAAGACACAATATAACGACTGACATTGCATTTAAATTAAAAAAAAAATAAAAGCTGACTGGGAAACAAGAGTCAAGAAGAGAGTTCCACAAGCGAGAAGTGCGATAGAAGAAACGGTTAGCATAGAACGTACGGTGGTTACTTATAGCCATTCCAACTGAAAAATGACGAGACCTTACTGCGAAGATAGTATTGCGCCTAAATTCATAAATTGGACCAATCACCAAGGAATATTTATAGAAAAGGCACAGGGAAGCTACGTAATGGCGGTAGGGAAGTAACTGAAACCAAGATGCCAGGTAAGGACAAGTAACGTTCTTCTTCGGATTTTATCAAGAATCTTTAAATATATAGCAGGAACAGCAGACCAGATGCTTCAGCAATATTCAAACCCAGTTTGAATGCTATACTTACAAATATGTAAGGTAGAATCTGGCGAGAAAAATTATCTAGCACGACACAGTAAACTAACTTTCCTCGCGGCAAACCTAGCAATTATTTCAATATAATCTTTCCACTTCATGTCAGGGGAAAATGTTATTCCGAGAAGGCGCAATGAGTTGCTCTCCTAGAATTAGAATCAGACATGATAATGGAAGTTAAAAGTGTTCTCTCAGACTATTAAAATAGAGTAGTTTCATTTTGGCGTCGTTAAAACAAACAAACCATTCCTTGCCCCAGCTAACAACAAATTGCATGTCATTTCTTAGTTCAGCTGCCAATTTAATCTTATCATACCGTATCATATTTTTTTAAGTCTATTTGTGCGAAAGAGAATAAAAAGGCCTCGGTTGGAATTTGAACTCGACACGCCAATCTTATATTCCGTGCCGATAACCGCAACGGTATGTACGCAACTACCAGTTTATTATTCGAGTCTTAACTCTAGTAGTGCATGGTGACTTACATTGGAGACTAAGTGACAGCAAGTCTTCTCAGTACTCCAGCACTCTTCTTTGTAGACTTGCTGTCACTTGAACTTCAGTATATGCCCCAATTAGAACTTTTTAGAACATCCAATGATTCAGCCATGAATCCCGTGAGCCCTTAGTGTCGTAGGGGTGCCACTCCTACTTTAGTCGCAGCAGCGATGCAACCTGACAGATCCGAACCCTCTCAAGGCTACTCTGAGTTTTCCTTCTAGACCTGTTGCTAACCAAGGCTATAGGGCCCAATATTTCCGGCTATTTACGCATAGGTGTGGGGGGGGGGAAGAGATGGATTCATACTTTTCTAAAGTATTGCAGCAGATAAGTGAATGTAATGAACTCGACTGGAATTCGAACTTGACTCTCCAAGTGATTCAATTATTATTGATATCTTCTTAGATTTTCTCTTCATTACCTAATCAATATCCGAAGCTGCAGACCTATTTTCGTATTTTTTTCTTATTATAATTACTATAATGCCGAATACTGCCTAGAAGGATACATCATATGAAATTTTTCTCGCTGTTTTTGTTTTCTTTACTTCGTTATATTTACATCTTCAGAGAAATATTTGATTGCTATTACGGAAGATCAAGTGACAACAAGTCTATTTAAACTGTCGTTTCTTTCATATATTTCCAATTCATTTGATAGCTCTTTCAGATTGTTTCTAGTTCTGGGTATGACGATAAACTACATCGGGCAGCAAGGCCTCTTATCGGGAGATTAGAGGTATTGAGGAAAGTGGAATCACTTCTTAATTTCTGTTGTCCCAGGTGTGGAAGCACCTGTTAGGACCCCAGCTATGCACAAATAGTGAACCCCCAAATAAAACCAAAACATTATTAAAGTATAAAAATACTTTTTTTTAATAAAATACCAGCAATACATTTTTATATGAAAATAATTACCAACAATACATATTTAGTTCAAAATTACCAACAATACATTTTAAGGCAAAATGAAAAGCAATATATTTTTCTATAGTTGAAAGCTACAGTTGTGTTCAAAATATTTAGATTTCGGCATTAAATAACCCATAGAGGTCGATATACCGCTAAACAAAATCCTAACAATCATCTACCATGTATTCAATTGTGAAAGCAGAATAACATATATCATATTTTTATTACTTCAAAGCTCCCAAGAAAACAAAATTTCGGCATTGAATGACCCATATGGTGTTGATATGCCATTAAACAAACAAATTAATCAATCAGGTTGTTACAATCTCACCAATAATTATGTGGAAGACCATCAAGGCTTACAGCCATATCACGTTGAAACATCGCTTCCCGTACGATCACCGAAGTTAAGCAACGTCGAGCCTTGTCAGTAATTAGATATGTTACCGCTTGGGAATACCAGGTACTGTAAACTTAGCTGAATGGGTGATTTAACACGGAATCGTTAATCGGAGATCCGAGTTCCAATTCCCGTTGGGTTCGTTATATTCACTTAAGCCCAAATGCTCTTGAGAAATGTATGAATCCACCTCCTCTCTTCCGAGTTATTTTCAGTATATATTCATATGATAAATATCCCACATGCGTTTCAGCATCTAATACCGTTTTTTTTATTAGAAATATTTACAAGGACTTATTTGCTGATGTAAGGTTTTATCCTGCAACACGATGGTGTTTTTTTTTCATAAATGTGATTCTACAGAATAATACTGAATATACTATGTAGTAAACTTGAGACTAATGACGATGTTTTAGAGAAAATGGAAGCAAAAATGTCACTCACCTTTAACATCAGAAAGAGACCCGTTGAAATTTCTAGAGTAAAAAATAATGAGAAAAAAAAAGAGCTTCGTTGCTCACGGGACACATATTGGTTCAAATCTGGAATAAGATTTAGAAGATCTCAGTTTGAGAAAATGTTTTAGCGTTCAAACAATGTTATTGATCAAATAAAAAAGGGATCTGCTATAGTATATCTACCGTCTATTTTCTACTATAGTTTGATATCTACCGTCCATTTTCCACTATAGTTTTATATCTACCGTCCATTTTCTACTGTAGTTTGATATCTACCATCCCTTCTCTACTATAGTCTGATATCTACTATTCATTTTCAACTATAGTCTGATATCTACTATTCATTTTCTACTATAGTATGATATCTACATCCATTTTCCACTATAGTTTTATATCTACCGTCCATTTCTACTATAGTATATCTACCATCCATTTTCTACTATAGCATGATATCTACCGTCCATTTTCTACTATAGTTTTATATCTACCGTCCATTTTCTACTGTAGTTTGATATGTACCGTCCATTTTCTATATAGACTGATATCTACTATTCATTTTCTACTATAGTATGATATCTACCGCCCATTTCTGCTATAGAATGATATCTACGGACAATTTTCCACTATAGTTTGATATCTATCGTCCATTTTCTACTATAGTATATATCTACGGTCCATTTTCTACTATAGTTTGATATCTACTATTCATTTTCTACTATATTATATCTAACATTCATTTCTACTATAGTTTGATATCTACCGTCCATTTTCTACTATAGCATATCTACGGTCCATTTTCTGCTATAATTTGATACCGACTATTCATTTTCTTCTATAGTATGATATCTACTATTCATTTTCTACTATAGTATGATATCTACCGTCTATTTTCGACGGTAGTATGTAATCTACCGTCCATTTTCTACTTTAGTATATCTACTGTCGATTTTCTACTATAGATTGATATCTACTTTTCATTTTCTACTATAGTATGATATCTACCGTTTATTTCTACTACAGTATGATATCTACCGTCCATTTTCTACTATAGTATATCTACGGTCCATTTTCTACTATAATTTGATACCTACTATTCATTTTCTACTATAGTATGGAATCTACCGTCCATTTTCTACTATAGTATGATATCTATTCATTTTCTAGTTTGGTATGATATTTACCAACTATTGGAAGTGTGAAATATTTATGGTTAGAGTTAGTAATTAGGGTTAGAGGTTAAAGGGTGTGGGTAGTGAACTGGTTATGTATTAAAAATCATTAACAATTTTTTAAACGGAAAATTTTAAAAATCATCAAATAATGATTTTAATGTTTTTAAACTGATTTGACGTCATTTAAAGAAACAGTAAACATGTCATCGTTTTTCCTAACCATTTTCCAACAATAATGAGTGCATCGTCATTTATGGTAGATCGCAAATGCCTCAATCGATATCATACTAAAGTGACATCAAAAATGATATCAAAGCTGAAGTGTATCATACTGCGAATACATAAGATTCCTGATTTCAAACAAGAAATAAAAAAATAATCATTTATTTATTTATTTATCTGAGTGTGAAATACGACTGAATAATAGATTTTGTTTTTCTTGTTTCTTAGTTTAAAATTTTTTTAGTGCTTATGTGGACAATTTGAAGCCAACTTTGTGTAGACATGAATCTCGACAAATAAGTATTGAGAATTTTTTCAATTTTCCGGTTTACTCTTAGAAATGGTAATGTCAATATTAGTCGTTTCTTTATAAGGACATATTCGGCATTCATTAATAAAGTAGCCAATGCTACCGTCGGCTGAAATTTATAAAATCTTTCTATTAAAATTGGTTTTTCTCAAGTTCACTCTTATTGTTCTTTCCAGTGTTGATTGAGGTTTTCTTGTTAACCTTTCGTTTGAAGTAGCATGGAATGTAAACATCTTGATTATGTCATTATTTTCTGTTCGAGTTAAATTTGTTATCCATTTTATTTGTTGCCGCAGTTGGAAATCTTCAAGATATAACGTTTCTGTTATTTGCTACAGTTCTTCGTGATTTTTTTTTCGCGACGTTCCACGTAGTTCAAAAAATAATAGTCTCCGCTGGGGCCTATAGGTTTCACTCCCTGGAAGCCATTTTTAAACAACGATTCGAGAAAGCAGTTGTATATAACAGACAGTTTAGATATTTTAAAACGGGTTTGGCGCCATCTATGACTTCCAAATTAAAGTCTCGTTCTGACGAGGCTATTGAAGGACATGCCTCGAGTTATTAGGTCAATGTTTTAGTTTTGTCGTAATCTGCGATCCTGTGCGAGACTGTCCAGAAGGAAACCTATCCCATGTTCAATTTCGGCTGGAAAAAAGAGTAAGTTGGAATATTCAGCCAAAATTAATATTTTTGAAACGAAAATGGTGGGAGGTGATGTTGGAATGAACAACCAGTTTGAAAAATATGAATAAGAAAATAAATTATGTTAGCGTCGGGAATTAATGTGTAGATTGTAAAAAATAAAAAAAATAAAACAATAAAAAAATCAAATTGCCGGTCAGGACCAATCTCTTCCGGACGTGAGAGTACTTCCAACATAGAAAAGTTCTCAAGAATTCTTTGGTTTGGAAAGTGGCTTCCAAGAAGTATCTATTTAAAATGAGCATCACCTACACAGGTAGGTGATGCTCATTATCATATTTAAGTTCCTTACCGATCCTAAGTTTATTTCTTGCTCAAGGTCGAGAAGAGAATAAAGATCGAACCCATTAAAGTTTAGAATGAAACCGGCCTGCGTGTTAATAATTGATCTACAGCAGGTGCCGAATATGTGTGTATTCCTGTTTGAACTAGTGTGTGTGATCACGCACGTGTTGTGGAATTTATTTTAAAGCTAAATTCAATATTTTTTTGTAACCGAACGGTCGTGTGCTTCTACAAAGCAATTAGATACTGAGATTATCTTAATGCTGCATTTTCTTTGTTGTTTTATTTATGTTTCAAGTTTCTCACAATAATTTTATTCCTTGTGATTTTCAATTCTGACTTTTTAATAACCAATATCGTCTTTTAATTTATTCATGAAAAGTGAATTCAATCGATATGGCTTCGTGGACAGACAAAATGCGTAGAAATTTATTAAAAATATCTTCGCCATTTTTGTTGGCAGTTCAGAGAACAGAGCAAGAAACATTATTTCCAGTCTGAAAGACAACGGAATAGCTAGGTGCTCCGCTGGAGCATCCTTTTGTCAGACAAAAGTAAAATTAATAAATAACTTTGGAAGCTTAATATTAAAGGTGAGATTATCCTTTTGCATACAGCGTTACTTTTGGTTGAAATTTATAAAATCTTTTTCTTAAAACAGTTTTTTTTTTCAGGAGAATACGTTTCAAAAGTCCACTGTTATCACTTTTACTAACATTGATGTACTTTTCTTTCTAACATTTTTTAACGTAGAGTAGAAAGCCAACGTCTCGTTTACGTCATTACTTTCTCTTCGAGTTACATGAGTTCTACATTTCAGTTCTTGTTACTCTTTGAAATTCTCAAATGATGTGGCTTTTCTTATTTGATAAAACTCTTATTATTCTGTAGCGCCAGTCTACAGGATTTGATGAAGGATTGTCTTCATTAAAATATAAAGGATTAATTCATTTGAAATCATTGTTAATTCTTGATCTGAAGAAACGCTTTTATAGAGCTGACAGTTTAGACATTTCTGAACAAGTTGGATGCGTCTCGATCTGACAAGACTATTTAATAACATTAAAGTTTTGGTTTTGTAGTATCTTGCGATTATAGACAAAACCAACCCGAGACTATTCTATGCTCAATTTCCTTATCGCCTATACTAAATTGGTTATAACTGATCCATACATGAGGGTATATAAATCTTTTAGCATTTATTAATTACTAGCTTAAAAGCTGTACTCCAAGCAGAATTTTAAGCTAGCTGGGTTAATTGGGCCTCCGACACAAACCTAAAGGGATCTTTGGTCCAGTTTAGAAAACAGCAATGATAAGTTTGAAGAAATAACTTTGAATTCCTCAATTCACAAAGTTTGGGAGGAATTTTAAACTGAATTTAAAACAAAACAAAAATAATTAATTCAAAGTTTTTGCGTTACTTTAAACTCAATATAAATTAAAACCTTTGAAAATCACTAATTTTTTTCAGTTATTTTAAAATTTGAATTTTTAACTGTTCCCTCCTCATCCAGACACAAATCCTAATGCTTGATGTTCAAACACCAGATGAAGGGCAGATTTTATATATCTATGTAGAGCTAGTGAGTCTTGAGTTAGACGGGTTTCAGACACACGGACTGACAGACAAACAGAATTTGTCGTTTATTTATTTATATATATTTTGAATCTTAGTGATTTATTGATAAATACATTTATCGGAGTTTTACAATAGGCACTACAAATAGAAATAATCTTTTTTTCATTTTTTTCATATTACGATAGATTCAGCACCCAAGATGACGAATATTATCTTTTTAATTAATGTTCTATAAAAATCAATAAGGGTTTCAGTTTGCTATGCAAATTTATTATAAACTGATCGCTCCCTACGGAAGCCAAAACAAAATATGTTCATATAGTAAAAATTTGTTTTAT